GCACCATTGAAATTTTCAATCAGGTGTGTTTGATGACATCACTAATCGCAGAGGACCTATGTAATACAAACATATTTTGCAATTAGTCACTCACTTATTTCTTGTGGAATTGCTGCAACCACCACAGACGTCAGACTGAAAATTGGAATGATGTATATTGATGCTATCAGTGTCTTTGATTTAAACAATATCAAAAATTAAAAATCTGCTTATGTGAAACAATTCTTTTTTTTCTTATGTCAAAAAGAAGGAAATATGAGCCAAGTTGTCAAAAGAATGATATTATTACCTTATTGGCTAAAATCTGCTTCTGGAAATAATTTTTTTCTTCTCTTTCAAACAGATTTCTGATATTTTACTTCAAATATTCTCATCATTTCAAAATCATCTGAAAATTGTGAGATAAAAGTAGAAGTATATAGTGGTATAAAAAAAAACAAAATCATATCGGCTGGTAAATGAACATTTTCATTTGAATTCATCAATAAAAGCACGAGATCTAAGCCCGATTTCTTACTGCACGGGAATCATTATAGCAGACACCATATAGCAAATAAAATGAGAAAAGAAAAGAAGCGAAGACTAATCGTGATTTACAATTTGTTACCGACAATTTCGTTCTGGATTTTAGTTCACGTGCCATTGGCCATGCAATGTCGATGAGGTTGTTGTTTATTTTCGTATCACGATAAAATATCTTCCGCCAGGCAACCTTCATAATTCGATTCCGAATGCTGTCTTTCTGATTAATATATCTCGAACTGGATTAATCCTAATCAGATCTCGATCTGTTGTTTTCCCGGGTCGTTTGTCGAACAGGAAATCTTGCCAATCACGATCAGGTTGTTTATAAAATTCCTAATTTATCACGATCTGGTTTCAGTTCCGTTTTTTGTTTTGTTTTTAACCAGGTTTCACTATCCCGTAAGGTTCTTCTTGTCACGTCTGATATGTTGAAATCACCTTATAAAATAATTATTATTTTGGAAACAAGAGTAAGCGGAAGGCAGCAGTTTCCTTATCAAAAAATCTTAATTTGCATTTGAATTATCCAGTTTAAACATTTACCAATAATCTAAGAGAATTAGCTGTTATTTGACTGGAAGCAAATGTCAAAACGGAATTAGATGATTATTGTATTTTAGGATGCAGTCATTTCTGCAATATGCCTGAGAAGTTTTTCATTTAAATTCAACCTTACATCATCAGTGTCGAAAAAGCTTTAAGACAATAGAAAACAATATCTAAATACGTAACGATTCTCCGTGGTTTAAAATTTCAACTCCGACAAAATTTGTTTTATTTTTATCATAATCATGCTGATTAAGTACAACTATTTTAATCTCTATAAAAGACATATTAAAACACACGTTACAATGATAAAACTCAATGAAAGTTCACATAATTTGGAATTATATTGAATGTATAACATAAAAAAGTCTAGGTGATTGAAACATATATTTCCGTGCACTGGTTATATATATGTATATCCGATACTGGTTCGACATCGCTCTTCAATATGGACCCGGTACACGGCTGTCTGATGCTGTCGATCGATCACTACACGACAAAAGAAGGAAAAAAACACATTTGATTTTAAGTGACAAAAATTATAATAACATTCATAACTTTGAATATTGAGTTTTTATAGATCAGACTTTCAAAATTTAATTTACGCTTCAATATTTGTTTTGTTTAACATTTCAAAGACTGTCAAACCATGACATTTTTTACTAAAACGTTTTTTTGTTATTCATAAGCTGGACATGCTTAAAATTGGTACTCTAAATGACTTATTATAAATCATTGCGACTTCGACAGGGATTTTCCTCTATGTTGACAATAAAACAAATGTTCACTATGTATTGTCAAAATCAGCAAAGAACTGTGTAATTGAATGTGTTTATGATGGAAGAAATTTCTGAATTGGACGGACATTGATGACAATTGCCAGATCATTTATAATCATAATGATTCATAATGATTTTTAATCATTTATAAACTGCATCATTATTTGATATTAATCAATATCAATATCGATATTAATCTCTGATTAGCAATACACTACCAATGGTAGATAGTTTTATATTCATTATTCTATATGTGAAAAGTTTCTCTGATTATAGGTTATATGCTATTCTGTTATTTAAAGCTGGAATATATTTTTCCCTCATATTAAGGTGCAAATTAATCTTTTTAATGCCAGAAAGGCTAATTAGAGATCTTAAAAGTATCATATATTTTATATGTAACATATAGCTATACATACCCTCTGTCAAAACTATCAGAAGTAAAATCTCTGAAAAAAGATAAGAAAAATTAAAATACTTAAAAATTGGCAGGTCTCAGATGATCAATTGAGTACTTAAGTATTTAACAAAATAATCTTATCAGGCAAGGTTCCAAGACAATCATTAAAAATCATAACACTATCTTTCTGTTGGGTAACAGCATGCACAATCTCACCCAGCACGTCAAGGCTTCTACTGTGAGAGAAATCACAGAATCACAATAAATATACTTAGGTCATAATAAAAAGGAAAACTTACTCTTCATATCTAGAATATCCACCACCTCCACTGAAATTAATTGAAATAAAATAGAATCAGTAAATAAGAGAGATTGTAAAGAGGTTTCTAAAAAATTGTATATTTGTGTGTCACAACACTGATAGATTGCATTGTACTACTCCAATTTTCAAAGAGACATCTGTGGTTCCCACAATTTATTTAAAACTAAGTGTTTCATATTTTTTTGTGGAATTGCAAGAACACAATGATTGAATGAAAATTGGAGTGGTGCAATTGATACAATCGGTGTCCCCAAAACAAATATACATTACCTTTAAGTCATACAAATATCTGTTTATGTTAAATTCAGGGGGTGATCAATAACAATCATGCTTTAAAATATAAACTGTACTGAATAACCTCCATTGTGAGTTTCAGTCATCATTCATATTTAGAACTAATAAAAATACATATTTTACAAAGAAGACACCTTAAGTTCTTGAGTATTGTGTCTACCAGTTGGTCCTTAGACAACCCTTTCAGCAATCTGTTGCATAATGCTTCACTGGCAAATAACCAGTATGAATAGATTTATTCATTGTCAATGTGGCTGTTCAATTGATGAGTTTTGCACATTCTGGATCTATGGAATCAACAGAACATTTAATAAAACAGATTGGAACAGAGTTAAGAATGCGTTCCACCTGTGCCGAAAAAAAAACAGAATTCAAAATGGCGGTGAAGGAAATATATGGGAAAATTTTGAATGTTACATATCTGCTTTCATACTTTTTGATTGGGGGCAGACAGAGCATCTTCAATCTAGCGCCACCTATGTTTTAAAAGACTACATTATACCTTGTACGTGGTCTGCTGTAATATTCTGGTGGTGGTCTGGCATAACCTTCCCTTTCTCTTCCTCTGTAATACATACTTTCTCTACCATAAGCTTCACGAGTTACTGGTGGGCGCCTCTCATAAGGACCTTCATATGGTCTGTATCTGTCACTAGGATGAGGAGGACGGGCGTAAGGGTCTCTGTAGTAATCATCGTAAGGATCTCTGTAAGATCCTCCACCATAAGGATCTCTAGCATAGGGTGGTGGTCTTCCGTAAGGGTCATCTCTTGCAACTCTTGTTCCTCTTGTCCCTCTTCTACAAAATCAATTACAATCCATCAAATTATTTCTAAACTATATTGAAATACAAAATAGCTTGCCAGGCAAGGTTACATACACCCATTAACAGCTGTCAGAAATGAAACAGCTCATCCGATTGTTACTAAGTTTCATCAAGATAGGACTGTAGGCTTTATCTTGCCTGCAAACCAAATTTGACACATTTTTACTTAATAACGGAGACATTAACACCAAAACTGTTTATCCGATTGTCACCAATTTGGACTTGACCGAGATATCATCAAGATATACATGAATACCAAGTTTTATCAAGATCAGATAATAACTGTGGTCTCTATTATGCCTGTAAACAGACAGATGGAAAGACGGACGCACAGGGGCAATGACAATGATTAACTTCAAAATAATTTACATCACACTTTTCTATGGCAAGCCATTATCATTATTTTCCTGATTGATGGGTGAAAATTCTTCCTGGCCTAATATTTTTTTTCTTTGTAATGAAATTTGTTCCTGGTGTGATAGAAATTATCTGACATAGACTTTTTGAAGTATGAACATTTTTGTGGGTATTGAATTTTCTTCCTGGTATGATAATGATGTACAATTTTATTTTCTAACCTGGAAAAATAAGTTTCTAGTGAGAATATAAGTTCGTGACATAAAAAAGTTGCCCAGACAAAGTTTTTTCATGACCTGCTAATATTTCCGCTTTGGCTTGCCATACTTTCCTGCTCTCAATTGAGCTCATGAAGTGACAGATTGATTTCACTATTAAAGGATCTTATTTTCACTAATTTAAAAATATTATTTAACTTACAAATCAGAAGGACAGTCTCTTCCCCTGAAATAACAAAATATCCATTACATTATACCTTAATATCAAATATTTCAACAATACAGCCTTATAAATATCCCTGATGTAAATAAGGCTGCGACAGAATGTAAACATGTAAATAAAAATTATCTTTCAGAGGTAGTCTGATATTGTGCCAATAGGTATGTTAACATGTAAACACATGAGAAGGTAGTGTATAGATAACATATAAAGCCGAAAAACTATTCGAAGAGAGGAGTCTTCATGTTATTTTTACTATACACGGTCCCATATACAAAAAGGCCAAACTCATTAGAGTAACCAATTAGCATTCTATCAGAATCTAATGTGCAAGACTGGTTGCATAAAAAAACTATCACAGCAATACTTCCATTGTATCAACACATACATGTATGGCCTGTTTTGAAAGTGAAACATTAGCCTACAATAAAACATAATTTTCGGGGCGCAAAGTAAGATATGGTAATGAAACAAAAATAAATAATTAAAGAAAAAAATTGTTGATGACAATACTCACCAATGACCATATCTACCACATTTAAAACAACCATCTCTACCACCCATACCTGGTTTCTGTCTCATTTTACTACTGGAGATTTCAACTCGTAATATATTTCCTTTATAATTTTCACCATTTAATTTACAAGCCAAGCTGGCCTGTTCTTCTGTTGCAAAGTGCTGCAAATGAGAAAAACATTTTGCATTGACATTTTCTTGAATGAAATGTAAATTAATAGTCATTTCATCTACAGTTTCATTATGCAAAATAATTTGAAGGCATCACCTGTTTTGTAATGTAAACTTACACAAAATAACAAGCCAAAAAAATATACATTTATATTTAATCACAAGTGGTTGCCTAGCAAGATACGCTCACTTTCCTGATACATTTTCAGTATATCAAGGGCAGTCACCAATCTGTGTCAAATCGTACTAGTCCTACTGCCTAGCAAGACATGCCCACTTCCCTGATAAAATTTCAGTATATCAGTCACTAATCTGCGTCAAATTGTACCAAAAATTTACCTTGTCCACGATATTGTTGAATTACACCAACACACAAATTGAATAAAATTCTGATCTAAACTGTCAACTGTAGCATTCACAAGTCATATTTAACAAAATATAAGTGTATCATTAAAATCAGATAAAAACTGTAGTCTCTATTGTGTTCACAAGGTAAATGTGAACGGACGGACCAACAGGCGACAGCAATATATAAGAATATTTCTGACTTACCACAAATCCATAATTTCTTATGACATCACATTCTACTATAATACCATAAGAATTGAACAATGTTTCTAGCTGTTCTTTTGTCGTACCCTCTGGTAGGTCACCAACAAATATCTTAGTTGATTTACCTCTACCACTTCTCTACAAATATAATGTTTATATTAATATTCAACAGTCAATTTCTAGTACCCGTAACAAATATATTATACAAGGATAACAACATCATTTATAAGGATCCTTTCTACAAGTTGGTCCTCGATCCAACCTTTTGCCATTGATCTTTCACCGATTATCCGTACCCAATCACAGCCGAGTGGTCTAAATTTGTGATGTTAAGATGTCTTATTTAGGGTCATCAGACTTTCACACGCCGATCGAGATTAGAACTCACAGACGCCAACTGTTGGCCACAATCAAGCAAATAATAACCAATGATAAGTTTGTTGATCAAGTCAGACAGGCTTATCTTTATAATATCAACAAAGTTTGCAACTTACCTGTCCTTGTACACTTCTAGATATTTCCACCTTCAAACTTCTTCCCATAAACTGAGAACCATTTAGAGCACTTACAGCTGCCTTCCCAGAGTCTTCATTATCATAATGCTGCATAAGAAATATCATATGAAAATAACTACATGGACAGAGTAACTCCTTGTCAATCTTAACAATCAAAATAATTGTCATCAATTAACATAACTTGAAGTCTGTGAGGTCACACGAACAGTTGTTGTTGCTAGCACAAATTCCAGTAAAATCTCATGTGTGCCTGCATTTCCATGACATGATTATCAGGTTGCCAACAAGATTTTGAACATTCATCATAGAGTGCCATAAGTTATCATCCAATCTGATTCACTTTAACTTCAACTGCATGATCATTACATGATTATCGACATAGGGAAAACGACCACAGGTATATACAAACCAAATTTTATCAAATCAAAAAAGATTGCAGAGTGTTTAAGAACAGACATGAGAGCCAACAACATACAACAAGAAGATGTGATAATAAATGACAAAACTTACCACAAATCCATAATTTCCAATTATAGCACATTCTGTAACTTGTCCATATTCACTAAACAAGGCTTCTAAGTCAGGCTTGGCTAAATTTTCTACCAAATTTCCTACATATAACTTAATAGTTGGCATTTTTTGTCTAAAATAAAAAGAAACAAAACAAAATAATACAGGCTCCAGGCAGTGGCGGAGCCAAAGAGGGGGCAGCAGCCCCACCTTGCAGCACCACAAGCATGTTTTACAGACAAAATCTGACAACTAGGTTAGAAATTCGGGCAATCTCAGATATTTCACCCCCCAACCCCCCCTCTTGGATGTAAACCTAGTTCCAGGTCAAACTGAAAACAGTAAGCTTATATGATCAGATGGAGAGTTGTTTGAAATATCAATACCATATATTAGAAAGTAATGCTGTATCACTCTATGTTGTATAATAAAAGAAGTAAGAAGACACCTATTAAAATGATACCACATCTTAGAATGAACATAAAATTTAAGTACCGTTACTCAAGAATGGTCAATATGAGTATATATTCATCAGTGAACTTACCTGGTATCATAAAGTTACAAGATAATCCCTGTAAAATCTAGAAAATTGGAAAATTCATAAAATTAAGTAATTATTGAAAAACGCTTAATCTGAAGTTTAAAATACGTAAATTTTATGTTCATTCTAAAACGTTGCATCCCTTTAAGAGTGACTAATAAGTTTTTTATTCTACAAGCTTTAATTGTCTGTTGAAGAATAAAATACTTAAGGGTGTCTGTCTTCTTACTTCTTTGATTATATACCAGATATTTAATAAGGTCTTTTAATGCTACTGGTAATATGCTTTAAAAGATTTATTGTGATCATTGTCTTTCAGAACTTTAGAAGCTGTTTCCACCTCTTTTTTAATCCTAGTGGTTTCCTCCCCTAATCAATTTATAATATAAACTAATTAAAAACCTGTTAATCTCTGATCTTTATTGTGATGGCTTCAATTGGATAAAGGAATCAAGAAGATTTGTTAATTAGAGATTATGTTATCTATTAGTAAGCATATGATAACTTATAAATATCATAAAATTCCTCCTACTTCATTCAAATTTCACTTATTCAACATGCCTGATTTGTGTTTAAATTGCAATACTCTTGTTAGACCAAGGCAACATGCCATTACTTGTGATGAATGTGGAAAATGGTGTCACAGGAAGTGTAATACAGGTATGTGTATTTATAGTTTTAATATTAATACCAACAATTTCTATATAAGTATTAAAAGTTAATCATTAATATAAACTATCAAGAATTATTAACTTTTAATTTACTTTGCAGGAATATCTTTCAAAGATTACATGGATGCAAGAAAGGAAAGGATTGAATTAACCCTGCCAACCCTGGTGTGCCCACTGACTTTGGAGCTAATGATACTGAATCAGTCAATGAAAATGATGGCTCCAATGAAGCTAATGTTGCCAATGAGGATGATAGTGATCACTCCTTAGCTCTGTCAAATTTTGACATTACAAGGGATATTAATGCAGAAGAACAACTTGAAAATGAATTGCTTCCAGATGATGACCTCTCAGAAACTGTCGTTGAAGATACTGAAGATGTCACTTATGAAGTTGTACCAGAACAGAAGGAACTAAACGTAGGAAACCTCCAAGTGTGTTCTGAAAAGTGGTCTGAGTGTGTTCTGGTCTGAGTTGTCATGTATTCTTTCAGATTGTCATTTCAAAGATCAGATACATCCTTAAACTTATGATCTAAATTCACAATGGCATGGTCTGATCGAATCTTTTATTTTCAAGGTATGGACGGGGCAAAGTGGTCTTTGTTTGGGTCGAATTGTCCTGTAAATAATGTTACCATTCGTTTTCAACCTAACGCTACTTCATTTCCCTTTCTATACAGGCTAGCCAAAGCCTATTTTATTTATGTCATTCACGAGTAAGTTAAATTTGTCAATTTATTCAACATAAATACCTGCTAAATGCAACATAAATTTTATTTTGCAGGTCTTTGTCTTGTTTATCTATCTGCGACGCTTCGAAGATCGTATCCGAAACGTAGTCAAATTATGATAATGAAATTTGTGTTTCTAAAACAAATTATTTTTGAAAGGCAAACATTTTTGAAAATATATGTATTTTCGGTTCAATATAATTAGACTTGGTGTTCTGTTTCCGCCTTAAGTGTAAAATTTCATAATGTGTGGTTCTAAAAATATCTATTATTATTATTACATTTCTGTATTAAAACTCTGGGTACGTTTTATGGACCGGAAACGGACATCGGAATTGATTCTGCGTAGATACGTTCTTTCTAATCGCCATCATGGGGTTCCAAGACACATGGTTTTCTCACCCAAGGAAATACGGTGCAGGATCAAGAAGCTGGTACGTTTTAAAGAAAAAATATATTAATAAAAATAACTAGATTGTCGATCTTAAGATTACGTGTTTCGTCTACCATAAAACTGTCCACACTTTGAATTATATGTGTTGAAAATGTCTTCGTACCGAGTCGAAAAAGAGGAGCGCGTTGGACATGCTGCAACAGAATATATCGTCAAATTGCCTCTTTGCTTTGCCAATTCGACCACTCATGCATTAAATCGTTTTTTTAACAACTACAGTTCGCCCAAATGAGTGAAATAAAGGCATAATAGATATATATCCTCTTTGAAAATTACAATTTATCAAAACTTTTTAAGAGTAATGTGTGCTCACGTTAGTTGTGTCACTACAAAGTTACAGTTACTCTCTAGCCACATTGAGGTCTAAATTGAATTTTTTCTCACATGTCACAAATATTCAAAATATGATTTTCAAGTGCATAGCATACCAATTGTCTTAGAATGCCTTTAGGTCCATGAATATATAAGTTTTGGAAATTTTGCACTTTAAATGAACACACTTCTCTCCAAGAAATTTCATGTGAATGACACATTGTGAACTGAAAATCTCCCTCTGTAAATTCATAGTTTCAAATAATTTTGTTTTCAATGGTTGGCATTTTCATGAACCCAAAGACAATCTAAGATTTCGGCAATATTTGGAGATTAATATTTCAATTCATACAAAAATGATAGCCAAAATGTGATTTAGATGTGGCCAGAGAGTAGGCTAAGGATTCTATTTTTTTTACTTAAAAGATTATTTGGAAAATTCAAAGTACTTAGGATTATTGGTTTTTGTAACCAGGTGGGGGAATGTTATAATGAATAGTACAGCCATAAGTACTGTATATTAAGTTTTGTTATTTTTCATTTCAGCCGAGTGTGTAGCAATACTCATGGTTTGATACGTAAATATGGTTTAAATATCTGCAGACGATGTTTTAGACATTATGCAAGAGAAATTGGATTTAAGAAGGTATGTCAGGATTTAAATGGAATATTGCCAAAGTTAATTTAACAATTATCTAATTTTATTATGATCATTCAGCAGTTTGGGGAACAATACATATTTGTCTTTAGGTTATCAGTGTAGTTTAATGATGCTATTTGCTTTAATCATTCCAGTACAATTAAGATGTTGAGATGTGATGTTTATGATGAAACAAGACAGCGTAATGGTCTTATATATCAAAGTACAGTACAAGAAAGATTACAAGAAAATGCTGTACATTTATTAATTTTTAAATAAACATTATGTCCTCAACAGTTGGTGTTTTCCATTACCCAAGCTGCCCTGAAATAAAATAGTTGGCAACTTACTTTATATCTGTCTAGTTATCAGGCTTAAGGAATCCCATTGTAATTATTTCCATCTAAAATGTTGGCATAGATGTTTCATTCTATCTAAGGATCTTAAGCAATTTATGTGCAAATATTTTAAGCACTAATTTTAACACCATCAAAAGTTTTTTTTGGTTCAAGCTTTGCAACATGCCAAGAGTTACACACAGAGTCCCTTTCCACACAGAATCATAGGATAAGAATTTGTCTTAGTCAAAATTTTACACTGATAAATACCAATGACAAAATTGATTCAAAGATTTTATGTGGAACAGGGCTCAGGCTTTCATGAATGAAAACAAATGTATACTGAGCTACGTAGATAATAAATTATAGCATACATATGCAGGCTTCGTTGAGTAGCTAATTCATACTTCCCAAATTCACTAAGTTTCATAAAGCAACGCGTTTAAAAGGGTAATAACTTGTAAAATATATTTTTTGAATTTCAATGAGGTTCATCACCGGATGATAAACTATTTAATCAAGTCTGTCAAGAATTGTGCACTTTAGAGTATTTACAAGCTAATAATTGAATGCATTTACAAGAACAAGTACATAACTCCTTTAAAAAACTTCTTTATCATGGGTGACCGATTGAAACCTCGTATAACGATATATGACGCGAAATTACCTTTTGAGAAAAACGTAAAAACCTTTGTATGCGTATTTTGTTAAAATCTTTTTGTTAATTCTTTTACCGATATATGCGTTTTAATTCTTTTAAAATTTAATCCTCATATAACATTTTGAGTACTCTGACCTTTTCAACCAATAACTTGTATAATAATATAGTATACAAGATCTTTTGTTTTCATCTACAGGAAAAGAAACATTGAACCTCGTATATTTTACGAGGTTTTAATTCTGACTGTTTATATATGTGTTATTTAATTAGTGGGTTTTGGGTTATTTATAATCAAGCTAAGAATACAAGCTTTTGATCAGAAGATTCATGCTTTTAAGCTTTCAACGTACCAAAAAGTAAAAATGACCAAATATGGCATATAAAAGGTTTCAAGTGGTCACCCACGATATGTTTGATTTTCAATGGGTTCAGCTTTGGATGATAATAAATAAACTAACAATCTCAACAAGTTTTGTGAAAATCTGTCAAGTAGTATACCAAAAAATTCAACAAAAAAATTAAATGCATTTTAACAAGGGCAAAAGCTAGCAAATTGTTTTTCCGATTTTCAAAAGGGATCATTCTTTTGGTGATAATAACCACTTACACCAGTCAAGAAACAGAAAACTTGGGAGATAGCAATAAACACTCCACATTTCATGTAATCTCTGAGTACACTGCTTTCAGCTTGAATTTTGACAATCATTTTCATATGAATTGAAATATCAATTACAAAATACTACTGAGGGATTTTGATTGTCTTCTGGTTAATGAAAATGTCAACCACTGGAAAAATTATTATTTGTAAAGATGATTTTCAGTCTGAAAAGTATGTCATTTTCACCTGAGTTTTCTGGAAAGAAGTGTCTATTTCAAAAGTAAAATCAGCAAACCTTTCTATGGACCTTAAGACAAATGGCATAAAGTTGAAAATTTTATTTTGAATATTTATGAAATCAAAGAAAAATTCAAAGCTCACTGTAGTCAGAGAGTAGGCGTATAAAAACCATTTACAATTTAAGGGGTACTATATCAGTTTCATTATTTGACAAAAATGGAAATGTCTTTTTGGTAATGTTTGATACGATCGCTTGCTTTCTTGCTAACCTTAAGTGTAAGTTACATTCCAGTTACATCAGAAGAGCTATAGATGATGGTTATGGATAATTCACAATACATAAATGTGAACCAATAGAAATATATTTATTTTTGGTGACAGTATATACTGATACGTGTTTTCATCACCAAATTTATTAAGATTTATCAATTTCTCCAATAAAGACAATATTTATATGACTACCAGTTAGAGGCAGAGGCAGTTGTGAAATCAGATTTAACATTATTTGCAATGTCCGATCAAATAAACAATAACAAAATTAGTCTAGTATCACACATATATCTTTCTAATAACTTCTACCAAATAATGTATAGAATTTGGCTTCCTTGTTACAATTTGGAAGAATACATTTTGTTTTTGGTTTTAATTCTGCCATTGGTTTAAATGGTATACATAAACCTTTCGCTCCCATAGCAGGAGCACCTTCTTCTACTTGAACATCTCTGAAAAATACATTTTGAAAATTTTTAAATAGTTATAAAGTATATGGTAAAAATTGAAATTATCACTAAGGAAGCCAAAAGTGATTTGAGTTTGTGTTAAAAATAGCTGACAGCACATTATTTGGATTTCATCTGAAACAAATTCAATATTTCCAGTTAACAACCAATAATCATGTCTAACGAATAATGAAATAAATACAAACCTAGCACTGTCTTTCTTTATCTTCTCTTCACATGGTATTTCACCACAGAATGGGGCTTGAATAATGAACTTTTTATCTAGAGCATTACAGAATTCATCCCAATCTTTAGACAATACCATATGCTCATCCATCTCTTTCTTTGCTCTGTTAATATTAACCATAAAGACATTTATAATGTGAGATTTAATGAGAGCTTCAATTGTTATCATGAGGATTATTTATGAGTATTGTCAATTGACTGATGAGTAAAAGTGTGTTGGTTGCCACTGGCCACATCAAAAGGTTGCTGTTGAATGGAGGCGAAATTTGTCGAAAATTTCACGGGAAGAATTTAGGTAACCGTTTGTATAAATTTGTCTGTATAAATTTTTTAACAACATGTTTGATGATATAGTTCACCTTGTTCACCATAGCCAACCAGTTCTGTTAGCTATAACCACAAAATTCCTGTGCATGCAAAATCATAGAAGCTTACTTACTTGTTATAAAGACTCGATTGTATGGTATCTAATAAATCTGTTATTTGTTTAGCTATATTGTCTTGTTTTAATGTGATCTTTTCACCAGTATCTCTTCTAACAGCTACTACTGTTTTCTGTTTTATATCTCTTGGTCCTAATTCTACTCTTATTGGAACACCCTAAATTAATATAGACATTACAATGGATTAGTACAACTTTAACAGTAAACAGAAAAGAACATTTTACTACACATGGTATAATATTCAAATCAGCACTTGTTACTGTTATATCATGGTGCATTATCAGTTCTAATAGACCTTATTCAAGCATCAGCCGTATTGATTTCAAGAAGAAAGATCATAACACAACCAAAAATGTGACGTTGTGTCACTGCGATGAAATTATCACCTTGAGGTCTTTTATGCCTCCTTCTTTAAACCCCATTAACTGAAAACCTATCACAAAACAATACTTTCAGATGAAGTTTATCTTAATAAAAAGAGAGACCAATTTCTTGCTGTTTCAATTAATGACGTAATTTGTCTTATGAGCCTCATATTTGATGAATCTAAATGAAACTGACCAACTGCACATATCACCACTACTTATATTATAGTCATATAACAAATTCTAAACTTATTACCATAGGCATCGACCATGGCCACTGATTTGCTATGCGATTAGTTTTGCTGTCATAGAGCATCAGATCTCAAGTCTGGGGCCTTATTCTCTAAAAACTAAACTCATAATGATTTTAGTGTTCAAGTCATCTGATCGGCCAATCATTAAAGTATGTCTTGGTTAAGTTTCGAGAAAGGCCCCTGATAATTATTTTACTTCACCTACCTTGACTTCCCAATGATTGAATTTCCAACCTGGAGAATAATTATCTCTCAGATCTGTTCTAGATCTTATACCACCAGCTATTAATGATTTACTTAAATCTTCACATTTACTCATTAGATTATTCATATCAGCCTCGGGTAGATTAGCTGTGATACCACATGGTACAACTATAGCCTGAAATTAGCAAAAGAAACATCTTAATCGCATAAAAGACCTTGCAGCAAGTTGCAACAACATAATATAATAACTCAATTTAAATACATTGTTGAATTGGGTAGTTGTATTTTTGATGAGTGAGAAACATCCAGCCCTTGAACACAGGAATGATATTCATCTTATTCTTTCTGTTCCGTAGAAGATTCCCAAAAAGGATACAAATAAAAAGATTGGAATATAGCTGCTTTTACAAAACCACAAAACAATTCTATCAATGGCTAACAAGAGTTATTTGAATGATTGTGTTGTCCTTTCTAAGAGAAAAATGTGTTTTCAAATTGATCAATTCTTTAAAATGGCAGAGATGTAAGTGACCATAGAATTCATTTCCAGAACATTTAGGAAGTGTAGGCAGCAAAGTGTTACACACTTCTTATCCAGATAAGATCCATGAATATTGACCATAGCTGATCTTGACCATTCCAGGGACATCTCAAGACCTTACCTGTATTTGTGATACTCTTGGTGGTACCACTAGTCCTTTATTATCACCATGTACCATAACCATAACACCTATAGTTCTAGTGGTCAAACCCCAGGAATTCTGATGAGCAAATGTCTTCTCTTGAGTTTCTGGATCATCAAATACTATCTCAAACATCTTAGAGAAATTCTGACCAAGATGATGAGATGTGGCTCCCTGTAAAACAGACAATGAGATGTTTGCTGAAAATCCTACAATTCTTGAACCCACTCAAGCCAAGCCAACCCTGAACACAAGATGTTACACAAGGACAGAGAGGTGGTCTGTGTTGTTTTACAAGATCTTTCATCTGACTGGATGAGAGCAAAAGAAAACGATAGTGATTGCACTTTGGATCCATATGAATGTCACTCCTCATGTCTATACCAAATGTCTTTGTGTATATCCCAGGAATGTACCTGTATAGCTCTTCCACTAGCTGAGATGTAAGCCTCTACTGTAGTAGTAAAATCACCACCAGCAAATTTCTCCTTTTCTGTTTTCTTTCCTCTTACTACTGGTATAGCTAACAGATCTTCATATACTCTAGCATATAGTTCTAATATAGTTAAAACCTAGAAACATTAAAACAGAACCTGAAACATGTTGTTACTTAGAGTTTCACACTGAGTAATCTTTATACTACTGATCTATTACAGTTTGTTACCCTTCTGAAGTTTGATGATAAGAACTCATGATTGCTTTTTTTTTTAAAATATCGCCTTACAATCAATGTATTCAGCACTAATGTAACATTTAAATTATTAATTACTAACTACTATTGTAGTTAACCTATACACATTAAATACCAAGTAATGAAACAGAATATTTGTTTTAATAGCTTATCAAAATTGTTAAACATACAGTGCCTTACGTCATGCACGGGCAAGCTACTAAAAAGTCATTACATACTTCATATTCATGAAGTTACATCACATAATGATAGCAAAAATATCATCAGATTTCTTGAATTATGTTAATTTTTCAGAATTTAAAATTATTTCTTCAGGAAGATTAATACTGACCTCTTCTTCAGCTTCTTTTCTTGTAGCGAAGGCAGTGTGACCTTCCTGCCATAAAAATTCTCTAGTACGTAAGAATGGCTGTGGATGTTTAAATTCCCATCTCTAGAAATAATGATAATAATATAAGCAGATATTAGAACCGAATACAATGGTTCAGGACAGTATACTACATATCAAGACCAGGTTAGTGTCACCGCATGACATTTTCTCATTTTGACATACATTGTTAATGACACAGAAAGAAATCTTTTTGTGTGTTATGGTCACCTTGGATAAGTTGTTTTTTCTCATGTGAATTTAGCTGTCAAGGACAATGTATATCCTTGTAAAATATTAAGTACAAATTTTGCCAATCTTGTACAAAACATTTTTAATCCTGTGGTCTTATTCTCCAAAACTTAAGTTCAAAAATTAAATGAAATGAATGGAGTTTTACGTCCTACTCTTCTGCACATTGTGGGATAATGAAGACGGGCAAAGCCATGCAGGGTGCCATGAGGGAAATTTTGCCAGGACAGCGGCATTAGCCTGCTCTTTTTCGATTTCCAACTGTCGAGGGATCTTTAATGTGCACAGCCTGTAGCACACTGGGTCTCGGTTTATTGTCCCATCCGAACGACTAGACCCTTTTTCCATGTCAGCTCCTCTTACCTGCATCACTGACAGGGGGAAAAACTTAAGTTCAATAAAATCCAGATTTTATGAAATACAGTAACCTGATTGGACAAGAAAACTACATCTAAAATCAATTTTAGTTTAGTGATTGACCAATCAGATGACACTAAAATTATCTTAAGTTAAGTTTTGGAGAATAAGGCCCCTGAATGTCTGAAATAGGTTTTAAATCTTTTATTACTTTATCATATTCAATAATAAACCTACCACAACATTGCACCATTGATTGAGTTTTAATGGTAGATCACGGTGAGATTTCACCCATTTAGCATAGGATGGATACATAACAGTTTCACTGGTTGGTCTGATAGCTACTGGTTCAGCTAATTTAGATTGACCACATTTGGTTACCCAGGCAACCTACAAATACAATATAAAAATTCAGACAAATTAATTTACCAACTAATTCTACTGAAAACTTCATTTTGTCCTATTCTGCCTTGATGAGCTGTTAATATTTCACCAATAAATAAATAATAAATAATAAATTGCAGTTTTGTAAGATTTTCATTGTTATAACATAGTTTTAAGATAAGTGATTGTTGCCTCGCTAAGCTATTTTATCCTGTGTCACTCAGTTAATTCTGTTGTTAACAAATAAAACCAGGTGAAAATATGAGTAATAAGTTATATCTACCTCTGGTGAGAAGTCAGCAATATGTTCTTTTTCTTTTTCTAAAGCTGCTTGAGATACAAACATAGGGAAATAACAATTCTCAACTCCTAACTTCTTAATTTCACCATCGAAAAAATCTTTAATCATTTCCCATATAGCATAGGCTCCTGGTCTTAATATATAGCATCCACTTACATCATAATATTCTATTAATTCTGCTTTAGTTATAATCTAGAAATATTAAAACAGAACTTGAATCATGTTGTTACTCAAGAGTTTCATGCTATGCGATCTTCAGACAACTGACCTATTTTCAGCTTGCGACTACATTTCGAGAATTAGTTATAATCTAAATTAATAAATTATTTCTTTCAGTCATCAAAATATTATCAAACTATTATAAATTTTATTTGTTTTCTTGAAATGACTTTGGGTATTGGGTGTCACACTAAATTATCTGACTGAACATTGGCACCTTGACATTTACCTGACAGTTCAGTTCTATTAAGGAGTTAATATTGAGATTCAATGGTCAAAGAGTAATATAGCATATGAAAATATAATAGTGACTAAAAAAAAACTGGGCTAATGAAGACGGGCAACCCCATTCAGTGTGCCATGAGGGAAATTTTGCCAGGACAGCTGCATTAACCTACTCTTTTTTTTTGATTTTCAACTTCTGAGGAGATAGTTATTGAACAGAGCTAAATAGATATGAATATAAATATATATATACCTGTGAATACCAGTCAGGAAGATTTTCTTCTTTTGTTGCCTCTAAACCTAACCTAAAATATTTCATCAATACTTTTATTAAATTAGAAGTAGAAAGTGCAAGCAAGGTTTCTTTTGTCACAACAAAACAGTACCTCAAAAAACATAAAAAACAGTGCATTTGACCAGATCTGTAGACAAATTTTGAAACAGTAAGTTATTTTTCAGTATGGATCTCTCTACCTTTGCATGTCTTTGTGAAAAGATTAGCAGAAATTAGCTCTGTCTCAAATGAAGTCAAATCTTATGGTCAATGGTTGATTGACCTCATAGCGAACAATGTATATGTATATCTATCTCTTTCCTCAGAGATGTTTATTTGAGAAACATGTGGATAAAATAAAATATGATAGTGTGTATACCTTGTTATTTTCTTTACTTCTCTTGAATCATCTTCTTTGTTTTCTTCTTTCTTAATCTCTTTAGGTTTGTCTTTAGATTTATCTTTGTTTTCTTTATCTTTACCTTTATCTTTCTTATTTTTCTTGGGAGCTGCCCCTGGTACGTCTTCACCAGTTAATGTTTTATAGTCTGATTTTAAACTTAGTAATGTTTTTACTTCTTTATCAATAGCATCCTAAAATCATTACATTTAATATACCAAATATAATACTAGTACTTTCTTTAAAATTTTTGGGGGTTTGAATGAATGTGCATGAAAGGGATTGTAAAGAGATTTTCTAAAATTTGTATGTGTTTCAGTGACACTGATAGCATCAATATGCACTATTCCAATTTTGAATCAGACATCTGTGGTTCCTGCAATTCTATTAAAACTAAACGTTTTATGATGTCACTAATAATGAAGAGCCTTATATGATTATTGATGTCATCAAGCACTTAGGTACCAACAGATGTCTGATTGAAAAATTAGATGAATTATATCAGTAGGGATGAAATAAGATTGTTCCCGAAAGATTGTTCCTGAAAGTGAAACCTTCACCTTAAAGGTAGGCCCGCTAGTATTTCACTACAAGAATCTTACCTTACTGCCTCCAGAAGATTTGAGATTTCTCACTACCTCTCCCTGTTTATCTATTTTACTTTTTAAATCTAGAGCTTGTGGAGATTCAGTTGTAGCTGCCATATCAGAAGATGGTGTTGGTTGTGGAGTAGTTGGGGTGGCTGGAGTATTAGATGGTTTCCAATCACTACCAAATATCTTTTTAAATTTATCTTTTAAATCTAATAAAACCTTTACTGCATCTCCTACCACACCCTGAAAGTAGAAAGTAAACAATGTCAGGCCTATTTTGTCTGTACCTATAGACAGGAAACATAAATACATATACCTGCAGTATAATCATTTAAGGGATTATACAGAAGTTTTCTAACTTTTGAATGTGTATCGGGGACACTGATAGCATCAATTTGCACCATTTCAATTTTCAATCAGACGTCTGTGGATAAGGCCTTATGTGATACAAACATATTTCTTGATTAGAGACAACAACAAACATCAGGAACCACCGAGGTCTCATTGGAAATTGCAATGCAAATTGATACATATAAAAATTTTGAAAATCCCTTTTACAGTAAACAGCCCAATCGTCAGGAATAAATTGGTGCTGGGGTTCAGATTTTGTACTGATACCAGGACTTGAGAACTCCTTTCTGACAATTTTGAGGTGCCAAAAAAAAATCAAAATCTATAACTTTTTGATTTTGTACAAAGACACTTTAAATGAATCAATCTCTGTTGAACTGAAGAAGATTTTGCTGGGGCTTAATTCTCACTTGCTGGGGCCCAACCCCTAATGGACCTCACCCTAACAATGGGGCTGCCATGTAACCTGTGTAAACAATCTTCCAGTTAACTCCATTTAACAATGAACTTTTTAGATATCCAGTGATTGCATCATACATGATTTGTCTATAAGTGTATATTGAAGCATAACAAGTTGTTATGACTAATAATAATACTATTAATATATACAAACTCACTCTCTACACTTCCCAACTCTGTTTTGAGGAATTCTATATCCTACTAAATTCAATAATTCCTTTTCTACTTTAAACAAATTATTTTACATTCAACTAGATGTGATATTCATTCTTTGTTGATATTATTTATAACTGACAGTCTTATCCACGTGGCTAGTTTACTTGACCTACTTAATGTTACTATAAATAGACTTCCTATATTGAGCTGTTTCATCAGTCTGTAAACTTCAGTTTAGTTGACCTCTTGCCTCTACTATCTTGTATTACTACAATAGCCTGAACTTGTTTAAAATCAATTAATTATTAAAGATGAATGGATGATGTTTCAAAATATTGCTACTTTGTTTTTGTGTTAAAGGGACATATGTGCCATTTTGGGGGGTTGATTTTAGTCTTGAATATATGTAAATTATCTTCAGAAGTACTAGAAATGTGCGAAAATCACTTCTAACTAGGAATTTTACTCACTATTTCTATAAATATGTCTTTTCTATACATCACAACGAGTCGTCATTTTAACATTCAAACATTGATAATTCTGGACACACATGGATTTGAAGGATCAAATTTAGACGGTGATCTGTGAACACTATTACTGATTAATTAGCTCAGCTAAAAAATTCTAGTTTCTGAGACTAAAGTATGATTGGTCAAAAAAATAGCCCACCTATCCCTTTAAAGTAAAATAATGAAATGTTTTATTTATTCTAAACCAGTAGGTTGTAAAAATTTAAGTAATTGCAGGATAATATGTGGAATTTATATTTAAATCTTCTAAATGGATAATTCATTGAAATGACTTTTGGAGATGGCTTAACTTTTGTATTGAATTATTTTACAGATCAAAGAACTTGACTTCTGTGTCAATTCTTGGTCACCAAATGTCTGTCATATTAACTTTTCTCAATTTTGATGACCTCGTTAAAGATGGGTTTCTTTATTTTTTAGTGTCAAATAAGGAAATTATTTGATTATTTTGTGTTTCTAATCAATTATCATATATTCTTAAACATATCATTATGTTTTATTGCATATAATTAAGAGATTTAACTTATCATAAATGTCTATGTATGTACAGTCTGGATAAACGAAAAAAAAAGGCCTTCTGACCTTCCTCGATTAGTCACTCATTGGAATTTTACAGGTAATTCTCTTCTAATTTAGCTAATTTTGAACATGTGAGACAAACTGGTATTTTTCTGAATCATTAGAACATCTCTACATTATATTCATATTAGCATTTTCATCTTTATAAATTAAAATTAGGGAACCCATCTTTAATGTGTCTATTTTTAAAGATCAGATCAACACACAATCAAGTGTATTCCGATTAAATGCATGACGATCATTCGACATACCTTTTAAAAATGACTTAAAAAGTTTATCTAAATCCAAACTTTATTTAAAATATGTTACAGGTCAAATTGAGTTGAAAACTAAACTAAATACACAAAGAAATGTCTTATATATTTAATTTATTTATTAAGTTATTTATTTAGTTATTTAATTTATTTATTTAGTTATTTATTTAATTTATTTATTTAGTTATTTATTTAGTTATTTAATTTATTTATTAAGTTATTTATTTAGTTATTTAATTTATTTATTTAGTTATTTATTTAGTTATTTAATTTATTTACTAAGTTATTTATTTAGTTATTTAATTTATTTAGTTATTTATTCATTTAAAATAAGATCAACTTACCTTATCTGCTTTTTTAGATTTTAAATCTCGGACTTTGTTTCCTTGATCAGTAATTTGTTGATTCCATTTGTTAAGGTCGTGGTCCCCATTAGATGGAGCAGCTGTTGTTGTTGATGATACAGCTTCAATCTTTAAATCTGGTTTCCAATCTTTACCATAAACTTTCTTAAAATCACCTTTTAGGCTCAATAACATTTTTACAGCTTCATCAATTTTACTCTGAAATTAACAGGATGAAATTTTAAAATAACCCGCCTTTTATCAGCTGCTATGCTGTTCCATGTCAATATCTGTAACAGATTCTCCAACGAATGTAGATTGATGATCTCAACTCAATGAATAACAAATATCAGCCTTAAATATATTTTGTGCAATCTAACTTAGGCATTATAATGCAAAATTTTAAAGAGAAGAAGAAACCAAGAGTGAAAATATATTTTAACACAGAATAGAAAGACATTTTAAGACTAACAGTAATTTTTTTGAGACGTACATTCCCATTCTCTAAATCAAAAAACATAAATTTTTTTTTTTAAAAACTTTGCTTTACTTAGAGATGAGTAGTAAAGCATTAGACAGCTCTATTTCTTTAAGATATAGAAATTACTTAAGCTTACTTTTTCAGCTTTAGCAGACTTCAATTCTCTAACAATATTGCCTTGATCTTTAATTTGTTGATTTAATTTAACAACATCATCATTATTATTTGATGTTGCTGGTGCTGCTGATCCAGCTGTTGTTGTTGATGATGCAGCTTCAATCTTCAAATCTGGTTTCCAATCTTTACCATAAACTTTCTTAAAATCACCTTTTAGACTCAATAACAGTTTTACAGCTTCATCAAGTTTACTCTGAAATTAACAGGATGAAAATGAAAAATATTAAACCTCTTTCAGCAGTTATACCGTTCATTATCATCAAAATCTTTAACAGATTCCTCTTTATCTTGAGTTTTAAGCTGAACAAGTCTCATTCAAAATTTCAGAATGTGAGAATTTCGATCAATTTATTTTACCAAAGGAGCCAAGTTAATCATATAATTGCTAAAATTTAAAAAATACGAAAATCCTTAATTCAAGTTTCGAGCTTTAAGTATTTAATAGCAAATTTGTACCAAAAGTGTTTAGTCATTGAGTGCACGACACACGATTGGAATAGACAATACAAACAGAAATAATGTAAAACTTTAAATAGCTTAAATTTCAAATACTTTTATGTGCTGTTTTCTTTAAAACATCTTTAAGAGTATCTGTTATAACATACATAACTTTATTCAATATTTCATAAATTTCCTTTAAAAAGTGGGTTATGATTTTCATTTTGCATAGTGAATCAGATGGGGTGAGATTAAGTTTGTTAGTAAAGCATTAGACAGCTCTATTTCTTTAAGATATAGAAATTACTTAAGCTTACTTTTTCAGCTTTAGCAGACTTCAATTCTCTAACAATATTGCCTTGATCTTTAATTTGTTGATTTAATTTAACAACATCATCATTATTATTTGATGTTGCTGGTGCTGCTGATCCAGCTGTTGTTGATGATACAGCTTCAATCTTTAAATCTGGTTTCCAATCTTTACCATAAACTTTCTTAAAATCACCTTTTAGGCTCAATAACATTTTTACAGCTTCATCAATT